ATGTGTTTTTAAAGTATTCTTTAATTTTTTTGAGCAGTATATATATTTACTAAAACTATTTGTTTTATGTTTCTCCAGTTACTTCCTGCTTTCTTGCATAGGCAAATTATGTCATACATCCCAGGAGTCTTCTGGAAGGGAGGAGGGATTTTCTAATCTAAAGCACACCCTCCTGCCTGCACTAAAAGCAGATGGATTCCAAAAAATAAATTCTACATGAATCGTTTGCCCTTACTTACGATGGCCACGGCCAGAAATGCTGGGGAGGTGTTTTTCAAAGTGATATCTCAGCAAAATAAAGCATGGAGACATGGGTGGATGGGGTAAATTTGCTTTAAATATTAAAAATGAATTGAACTGCATTTTTGATTTGTAGTGCTCAAATGCAGTGTAGTTCTGCTTTAGAGAACCTGTAAAATTAATAGCAGGCAAAACCTGACTCTTGGTAGGCTGAAAGCCAGATGCTCATTCAGACCCAGCTCCAGGAAGGAGAGAATTCAGCCCACAGAGAAAACTCCTGGGTCCCAAAACTCAGATCGAGTAAAGTATGCCATCCATGAGTTTGGAGTGGAGGAACTTGAATGGCCTACACAAAGCCCTGACCACATCCACTATTAGTACCAGACATTTCAATTGCTGTTTTGGCTGAATGGGCACAAATTCCAACAGACATTCCCCCAAAATCCTGGAATTGTGGATAGCCTTCTTAGAAGATTGGAGGCTCACAGTGGTGTGGTGGTCAGGTGTCCACAGTCTTTTGGATATGTAATGAAATGCTTTATGTCAAACGTCTTTCAAGTACTTGATAAGGTAATGCAATGGAATCTGAGCTGTGCTTAATAGAGGTAAAAATCAACATAGCAAATCTGCCTGCTTTGCTTGGGTAGACAAAAGAGAAGTTATTTTTGTGATGTTTACCGTCATAGCTATCAAAATAATCTGTTGAGCAAAAATGCACTGTACACCAAATATAGCTTTAATTACATTGGTCTGACACATACTGTACATTTCTGGAGTTCCCAGCTGGCTATACATATATACAAAGATATTACAACAGATAAAATAAAAAATATTCCACAAAACACACTTGGTTACATATGAAATTGACGGTAAATATTTGATACAATAATCAGTTTGAGCCAGCTTGAACCAAGGCAAACATGTATGTGCCATAGCCATGGGATCTCAGTGGAAGCTGGAAATCACTGTAGTAGTCACCGCTACTCCAGTGATCTCCACTAGCTTCTGAGTCCTTGGGCCGAGCAAGCAAGCTCCTGTTTTCACAATACTCTGCTGCTTTGTGATCACACTAGCTCAGCGCACATGCAACTCGGAGACCACTTTGAGAAAATGCAAACCATTCTCCAATTTGACATGGTGGAGGGACAGGGCAGTGATGTCCTGATCTCCACCTCATTCATCAGAGAACACTTTGCATTTTACAACCAGAAGGGCAGCCTTCCAGCTTTCATGGGGATCCCACAGGCATGGCACATACATTTTTACGTTGGTCCAAGCTGGACCAATATAACTATCTAAAAGATATCATACGTGGAATTCAGCAATAAAGTAGAACTACAGGCAACACGTTTTTTCCCATTTTGAATAGAGTAAGGGAGGGAGGTCCCTGTAAGGTTTATTTTTTGCCATCTTTTTAGATTTATCTTCACTTCCGGTCCCATAGCCAAACAGGAAGTGAGAAGAAATTCCTGCAAATGTACAGAATTTCTTGAGGACTCCCAGGCCACCAGAATCAGTGTCCCCATTGGAATATTTCCCCTCTATTACTTTTCTGGGGACAACCCAAACCTTTAGATTTTCCTTTACTTTCACTAATAATAATTAATAATATTTATTATTATTAATAATAATTATTATTATTAATTAATAATAATGGTAAAAAGGACAAATAAAGAGGATGGATCTCCCTAACAGGGTCGGCAATAAAAACAGACAGGGGTGCTAATCCCTGTTAACTTTATGAAAAACGAAAAGAAAGTTCTACTTTAAAAATGATAACATTTGACCAGTCTTCTTGGACAACAATGCATTTCATCTTGTCGGTTTTGCCCTGCAGCCATTGCCATCCAACACTAATAACATCAAACAGCAAAAGGTATTTCAACCGAAAAAGCAAACCAGTGCCACTCTTCTCACCTGTAACCAGATGTATCATCACACCACTGGTGTAACAAATAATAACCCCTGAGGATGAACAGGATTAAAAACAAAGAAAATGCAGCGCTAATCTATAACAACAAATAATCATAAAGTCCAAATAATCAAAATAGGTTTTGCGATAAATTGTACAAAGAGGAGTTTGGCACCGTCCACCATCACCAAGCCACCCAAATGAATAAGCCCCTTACCGGACGTTCTGACCGAAACACACCGGTCAATATACGCAGCCCAAAAGAGGGATCAATAGTGCAGATGATGAAGCTGACAATCCTCCCAAGGATAAGATTCTCTCTTCCTCTTATGAAATCCTCAAAAACCCAGAAAAAGGACTCCCATCCAGTAATCAAAGAATATAAAAAGAAAACCACTCATAGTGTAGTATTTTGATATTATTACAAACCAATTTAATACAAGTTCCACGTACATCAATATGAATGGTTACCAGCATTAAACAAGTTTCCAACCAGAAAGATGGCCGCCATCCCTCCAGAATGCAGTGACGTCACACGCTGAAGCTCCAGCGGGGGAGCTTCAGCGTGTGTGGCACCAAACTACTCTTTGTGCAGTTTATCCAAACCTATTTTGATTATTTCGACTTTATGATTATGTTTTGTGTTATAGATTAGCACTGCATTTTCTTTGTATTTAATTTGTATCTTGCCTTTTATATTTTATTTCAAGTTTGTATTTTGTGTATTTATCCAAGCGCAGGTTTGATTTTTTTCTATTTTATTGATGAACAGGATTGTTTGAAAGTGTTGGGATGGAGGGACCACTGCTGACAGAAGAGTGCTATTGCCATAGATATCAATAGTTCACCAGTTCGCTGAGTAACTGGCATCCACCAAGGGGGAACCTGCATGATATTCTGCCTGCATATGTGAGCTTGGTACAATGTCGTAATAAATATATAGTGATTGCTACACTAGAGGAAGTGCCACTTTTAGCCAATGGTAATCACATTTGATATCTTGCAGTCACGTGATCCACGCAGTGTTCCATGAAAAGGTTCAGCTCCTGGATACAAAGTGCTGAATGTGCCATGGAGGAAGATGCGAGGTGACCAGAATAGTATTCAGAGTTCCAGTATCTATGTGATCTGTTGGATGCCTGACCACCCCTGAGAAGACATTGGTCACAGGTAACTGTTACCTTCAGGAGCAAGAGTAGTGCACCTGCGTGTGTATGGCAAAGGAGTTAACATTCCATGTTCTACTTTGAAAATCAATTAGATTTTAGCAATGTAATAAAGCTAACAATGAAATGATCAGCTGACACAGATAACTGCACAGTGCTCTTTTCCTTATTAAAGTGGAACTCCACCCTAAAGGTGAAGTTTCGCATTAAGGACTGCTCCCCCGCTCCCCATTAAGGATTGGCACATTTGGGGGGTGAGAGCGGGACCTGGTCTGATTGCCTAGGCGATTGGAAACGGAAGGTGTCCTCCCTGTAGTCTTTTGGGACACGTGACAGGTCCCAGAAGACTACAGGAGCATTCATGAAGCGCAGCGCTACTCACGCATGCGCAATAGGTACCCGGCTGTGAAGCCGCAAGCTAGCACAGCCGGGTGCCCACACTGAAGATGCCGGCCTCCGGGAATACAAGACGGCCGGTGAAACGGGCTGTGGAGGACGGACCGAGGGACAGGTAAGTGGCTGTTTTTTTAAAGTCAGTAGCTACAGTTTTTGTAGTTACTGACTTTTATTTTTTGACAGGGTGAGTGGAAGTCCGCTTTAAGTGGTTGCAAACCCTTACATGTACCCAGTGAAGTGACTAACCTCAGGTGATAGACAGAGATAAAACAAATCCCCCTACATAAGTTGTACCTGTTTATCTGCAGTGTTCTCTTCTCTACATCTATTGAAAGTCCAGAATGCATACAGCTTGTCAGAGAGTTGAAGAAAAAAAAAAAAAGGGGAAGGCAAGCTGAAGTTACACTCTGCAGAGTTCAGGGAGCTGACTGGAGGAAGAGACACATCACCCTCCACACAGCTCACAAGAACAGAGCTGAGGCTGTCAATCTGCTGGAGGTCCCTCCCCTGTCACCATTTTTCTATTGGTGTCAGGAAAACTTATCAGAAGTGACTTGATGCTGATCAGGGGCGGACTGACCATTTGGAAACTCGGGCACTGCCTAAGGGCCCGGGATCAGTAGGGGGCCCCATGAGATGCCCCTGGTACCTTTTTCATAGGCTTTTTTGAGTTTGGGCAAGGACACAGGGGCCCCATGATCCCCTATTGCCCAGGGGCCCCATGAGTTGTCAGTCCGCCCCTGATGCTGATAGTAAAAGAATGAAGTAGCAGACGGACATTACTCCTAATTGAGACAAGTACACACAATAGAGGGATATGCTTTGTTCATACAGTATTTCATGTCTGAGGTTTACAACCACTTTAAATAAAGCTCACTGAAGAAATATAAACACCAAAGAGCACAGTAAGCGGTGATCTGAGCTGGAAGTTCAAACCCCCCCCCCCCCCCCCCCCCCCCCCCCCCCCCCCCACAATCCTCTGGGACACTTCACAGGTTCCAGAAGACTGCGGCCTATTCACAAAGCGAATGCGCAGTAGAAAACCGCTGTGAAGTCGCAGGGTTTCACTTCCGGTTTCCCTTACTAAAGATGCCGACACCAGCAGCCAAAGCCGACATAAGAATTGGCTCCAGTGCGGACATCGATGGATCCCTGGACAGCTAACTGTCCTTATATTAAAAGTCAGCAGCTACAGTATTTGTAGCTTCTGACTTTTAATTTTTTTGGGAGGGAGCCCAGAGCTTCACTTCAACACATCAATATGGAATTGCGATTTTTTTTTGAAATCATAAATCAAGTGACAACTCCGGCTGTGAGTTTGTAAACTGCAGATAGATCCGTTTGGATAATTCCGGGCCAACGCGACGGGACGTAGACGCGACGCCTTCTCCTCGCCGCACAAGGATATCGCTCAAGAGGCCATGTCGCTCTGCGTTGGTCTGACAGTGGCGATAGGCCTGGAAGAGAGGTACACAAAAGTCAGTACACAAGCAGGACTTATGCAGGCCATACATGGGTCGAATTCCGAAGGATTTTTCGTCGTCCGAAAATCAAAAACGTTGTTCGCTCTGTAATCCGATGGTGCCATCAATGATTTAGAAAAATTGGCCGACCAAGTCATAAAGTTCACCCCATATAACAGGTGAAAATTCTGTTCCTTCCAGGTCACGGCTCATGCGCATATTCTTTTCGGAAACCAATCGTACGATTTGATCATCATTGAGTTGAAAATTGGTTGTTTTTCACAAATTTTCCAACATGCCCAATCATCGAAAAGGGGATGAACCATGAAAATTGGCCGGTGCCATTGACCCACTAACAGAGCGCAAATTGGGTGATTATTCTTAGGTCCAATTTTCAGACGAAAAATCGGTCAAATTTTGACCCATGTATGGCTGGCATTATTCACAGGCAAATTCTTCCATTACACATTGTATGCCTGTGACATATTTGCTGGCTGCCTGCACTGCCATTCAGTTGATTTCAGGTAGATGTACACCCTAAGAGCTCGTTCACACTTGACTTATATCTAACTTTTGCCAAACGCCCCCATAGCATTTGACAGGCGTTAGGCGTTTGGGAAGCGTTTTTAACGCTCCTCAAATGCCCTATGTGCGTGTTTTTGAGACGTTTGAAGCTTTAAAACCGCATCACAAACGCCTATAATGAAGTGGGGCAGCACAGTGGCTAAATGGTTAGCACTTCCGCCCTGCAGTACTAGGTTCGCTGGTTCGAATCCCAACCCTGGCACCACCTGCCTGGAGTTTGCATGTTCTCCCTGTGACTGTGTGGGTTTCCTCCGGGTGCTCTGGTTTCCTCCCACACTCCAAAGACATGCTGGTAGGTGAATTGGCTCCTGTCTAAATTGTCCCTAGTATGTGTATGTATGAATGTGAGTGAGTTAGGGACCTTAGATTGTACACCCCTTGAGGGTTAGAGACGGATGTGAATGTACAATACATATGTAAAGCGCTGTGTAAATTGGCGGCGATATATAAGTACCTGAAATAAATAATAATAATAATAATAGGTGTTTGCCAAGCTTTAAAACCGCACCACAAACACCAATAATGAAGTTAAATGGTATTAACGCCCCGAAAACGCCTGCCAGATGCTTGCGGAGCGGTACCATAGACTTGAACGGGAGGCTTCAACTCCTCCTGACTCGACACGAGGCGCCAGTTTTGCTGCGACGCAACGCTAACGCTTCAGTGTGAACAGCACTGTGTGCTGCCATGTGCAGAATTTTCATATCTCTTTGAGAAGTGTTGAAAACGCTGCTGACAAAGCTAGTGTGAACAAAGCCTAACTAAACGACATTTACTTTGCGGAAGCAATTTAAAAACATTTTCATCCTTTTTTCACTCTCAGTGACGCTGATTTCCTGCAGTCTCTTTGCAACCACTTGCCCTCTACATGCACTCTAGTGATGGCTGCATGGCATTTCTCTAGGGTTTCCTTACTGTGACAATTTATAGTCTCCAATGGAATCCTGTGAGAGTGTGATAGCACAGTAACATAACTGGGAGACAAGAAAAGAGTGTTATCGACCTAGATCAGGAAGTGCCTGAGCGAACGCCTTCTGGCAGGATCACCAGGTACATTTTTTAAAGCTGAACTCCAGGCGGACATACAAGATTTGTGGCGGGGCAGGGTGAACTCACCTTTATCAGTAACTGCGGGGAGGGATAGGCGGCCACCACTGCACTGGCAACTTCCACACTGACTCTGTTGAACTGTTGAATCTGCCTTTTCCACACTTCCAGCAGACCTTTTCCACATTTCTCTACACGCACCCCCCCCTGCCCAATCACCATCCAGGTAGAAGGAGAAAGAGGTGTTATCGCGCTGCCTCCTAAAAGAAACAGATATGTCAGCAAATGTATAGTATCAGTAATAATAAACGGAGTAAGTGAGCGCTATAGAAAATGCAATGTCAAATTCATCAGCGACTATGCACCAAAAGGCACCATATAAGACCTTCAAACAAAGCTAAAGAAAAAGAAAGGGGTGCAGCGCTTAAAAAATCCACAGATACTATCGTAATAAACATAAACACCATATACTAGAACCAATGATTAATAAAAATTGCAGTGACAATGTGCAAATACATAAGCCACTAGAAAGGTGGCTAATCTTGTGAAGGAGGTGTGAAACTTATTATAATAAAAACAGTCCAAAATGAGAGTGCCGATAAATCTCAGATGATCTTCAAATGTCCAGTAACTGGAACCGTGGGAAAGGGTGATAATTAATGTGAAGATTGCGCACTCACCAGATACGCAATTTCAATGCGCATATTGTAATCAAAAACCTCAGAACATCCGATATCCTCAGATGGTGTGGTCAGGATCTGGTCAAGTATAACTCACTGCCTCATGGTGCTGTCACGTTCAGGAAAGACCGCTCTGTAAATGTAGCCGGCTCCCGTGGGAGCTCAAAGAAACAGAGAAGGCCAATAGTGCAGTATCTTTTGAGGATGTTTATTTAAAATAAGGCAAAGAGACCCTGTCAGGGCTCCCAGGTGTGACCAGAGGTGTGTGACTGACGCAGGGAAACGCAGACTTCAGATATGTGATAAACAATATAATTTATTAACACTAACAATACAACCATAAACGCAGTGCAATACTAAACATAATACAGTGCAAACAAACCAAACCAACCACCCACAGATAACAGTACATACAAGCAAGCGTCGTCAGGCAGGCCGGGTCAATATCAATTGGGCAGGTAGGTACAGGGGGAGCAAGCGGAGATTGGTCGGGGTCACAGGCCAGGTTCAGCAGGTAGCTAGCAGCGTAGTACAGAGGGTCAGGCAGAGGGATGGTCAGGGTCACAAGCCAGGGATCAGAACAGGTAGCAGGCAGCGTAGTACAGAGGGTCAGGCAGAGGGATGGTCAGACAAGCCAGGGATCAGAACAGGTAGCAGAGAATCAGACAGGAACAGAGAGCAGGAACAGGATACAGGGCCCAAGAGAAACACAACACCAAGGCAGAGTCTGCAAGTCTGGCCATCCCTTAAATACCCCAGCATAATCAGTTCCAGGTGTTAGCTGGCTGCAAAGTTGAGTCTCTAATTGCTGGGAGAATCCGCTGGCAAGCCCTGGTACTGCAGATCAAAAGGCAGGTGAGTCCCACCATTGCTGGCTAGTCCATTCCTGACAGACCCATAACAGGAGTATAAAACAATACTGACCAAATGATACCAAAATGGCCGCGGGGGGCCCTTGTGGTGCCGGCGGTATAGCGTCACACCCGCTGTGGCTCTGCTCTGACGCGTTTCGAGCGACTGCTCGTAGTCATAGAGGTTCAGCTTACAGCCATTTTGGTATCATTTGGTCATTTTTTTTTTTATTCTCTCTGTTATGGGTCTCTCTGCCTTATTTTGAATAAACATCCTCAAAAGATACTGCACTATTGACCTTCTCTGTTTCTTTGAGCTCCCACTGGAGCCGGCTACATTTACAGAGCGGTCTTTCCTGAACGTGACAGCACCATGAGGCAGTGAGTTATACTTGACCAGATCCTGACCAGACCAATCTGAGGATATCAGATGTTCTGAGGTTTTTGATTACAATATGCGCATTGAAATTGCGTATCTGGTGAGTGCGCAATCTTCACATTAATTATCACCCTTTCCACGGTTCCAGTTACTGAACATTTGAAGATCATCTGAGATCCTATCGGCACTCTCATTTTGAACTGTTTATTATAATAAGTTTGACACCTCCTTCACAAGATTAGCCACCTTTTTAGTGGCTTATGTATTTCCACATTGTCACTGCAATTTTTATTAATCATTGGTTCTAGTAAATGTATAGTATCACTGGTACAATCTATGCTGGAGGGTGCAAAATATACCTGGACCTCTATTAGAAAACGGTGGCAGTGCAGGGGCGGGTTGCCGTTCATAAACGGCGCCCGCCATTTTGGATTGTGCTCGCTCCCTGGGAGTGTGCAGCACCACGATCCGGTGCCCAACACACGATCGCTGTACGGGACTTCTATGTGAGGTCCCAATCATGTGATCACTGATTGGCCAATCAGAGATCACATGAAGAGTAGTAAGCAAGATGTCACTTCTGACATCATTGCTTACTATGTGTGAAATCTGTGAATGATCACAGAGGTCACATGGTACAAGGCTATTCACAACTGCCTTGTACCATGTGACAAGCTGTGACCAATCACAGCTCACTCAGTATTTCTCAATGGCTGCAAGAATGCAGCCAGAGAGAAAAAGAAATGATTGCTTTTGCAGCCTTTATGGGTGTAAAAGCATTCGATGTCACTATGGTGAAACTGTACTGCTAGGGTGACAGTATGTAAAAAAACAAACAATAATATAAAAAAAAAAAAAAAAGTTAAAAAAATGGTTTTAAAAAATTATAATTTTTGGTTATAAACTAATTTGCGTCATTTTCTTTTACTAAAACTTTTTTTTCAAAATTTTTGGACTTTTTCATTTATATAGCAAAACAAATAAAAATCCCAGTGGTGAATAAATATCACCAAAATAAAGTTTTATCTGTCTCAAAAAAATTCATATGGGTACAGTGTGTTGCATGACCGCGCAATTGTCATTCATAGTGTGATAGCGCTGAAAGCTGAAAATTGGCCTGGACAGGAAGGGGGTAAAAATGTCCGGACATGAAGTGGTTAAACACCCTCGCACCCCTGTAAGCCCATGTCACACAGATAAGGGCACACTCCTTCCTCACCCCATTATTTACCCAGCACTGCAACATGGGAGGAAGGGGAGTTGCATGCTCCTCATAACCAGAAGTATCAGGTATTTGCTTCCCAATCACTCCATTCAGCTTCCTGAAAGAGGAGATGAGAATGTGCAGGGGTGGGAAAGGAGGTGGAAATTTAAGAAAATGTGTTTCTCTTCCCATTAGGGATGCATAGATACCACTACCGGTACCGATACCTAGTATTTTCAGGAATACTCATGAAAATGCTCCCGATACCTGCAACCAATTAAAAGCTGTCTAGCCCATACTGTGATCCCTGCGCTGAGAGGAGAGAAAGCCACGAGGATTCCATATCCCCAGCTTTTTCCTTCTGTGACAGCATGGGATCAGTGCAGGGAGGTTTCCCCACACCACTCCTGTGTGAACTCGGGCTATGACAAGCCTGGGTTCACACAGGAGCAGTGGGGAAACCGCATGTGATTTGGACAGGAATTGCATTCTATTTTTTGTGGTCCAAACATTTTGTATTGACGCAAATCACACTGCAAAGTATCAGCACTCGGTTTCGGCGAGTACTTGCTCAAAAGTATCGGTACACATACTTGCCGATCAAAAAAGGGTATTGGTGCATCCCTACTTCCCATGCATAGGCAATGCACAGCTTTACTGTACCATGGCCATAGTCATTAGGTGTTTGGAGAAGTATGCATGATAACATCACCCAACAGCAAACAGTTTATCAGGACTTGTCCAGTCTCCAGCCTGCATTCCTGTTTAACCACTTCAATACCGGGCACTTGTACCCCCTTCCTGGCCAGGCCCATTTTCAGCTTTCAGCGCTGTTGCACTTTGAATGACAATTGTGCGGTCATGCAACACTGTACCCGTATGACATTTTTATCATTTTTTTCAGACAAATAGAGCTTTCGTTTGCTGAAACTCTAAAAGACCCTGCATGTCTCCCCTGTACTACACTGAATGTAATGCAGTGCACATAGCACTGCATTACATTTTTTACCGGCCTCGATGGCCAGGAATCTGTCAACGGGGACCTGGAAGTGACATCACATCATTTCCGGGTCAGGACAGAAGGGGATGGGAGCAGATGTGTCTGCTCTCATCCCTTCCATATACACGCCGGCAGCTACCGAACTGGTCCCGGGCCCGCAGATGGCCAAGTGGAGCCCGGGACATAGAGTTGGCAGGGGGGCGGAGGCTGGCACTGTGGGCTGTGTGGAAGTAATCCGGCACCATCGCTACCACCCGAATGCTTCCACTTGACAGGTGAGCCTTGCTGCTTACCCGCAGAAAGCCTAAAGGGTAAAAAAACTGCTGGCGATACAAATTGGACAACCCTGATACATGTTCACCCAATCTGGACAAAATCTGTCTGGATTGGAAGATTTCTTCTAAAATCCATGCAGTAGGTTTACCATTGCCCAGATTTACGCCTGCGGCCATTCATACTGAACTAGACAAACACTGCACCACTAAATCACACCCCACCACCCAAAAACGTAACTACATCAAGTGTCATTACTTGGCTGGAGCCTCCGCTAGAGCTTTGCTAAACATGCAGACAAAGTCTGAGAATTCCTTCCAGGTCTCCAGGAACCAGACACGGACATTCAATTGTATCTGCAAGACCATCAGAGCCTGAAATACAGGAGATGTGAGAAACCAACAGTTAAAAAAGAAAAAAAAATCAGTTTAATTCAATTATTTGTCCCTAATGTACTCCCTAATTAAATCTTTTTAATTATTTTACTGTATTCTTAATTTATTATTTTTAATTATAAATAATTTTCAATTAATATTGTTTTTTTTTTTATTTTGACAGGACCCCTGGATTCTGTAAAGGAATGGGGTGGTAACAGGTTTGAGGATGAGGACCATATTTACAGTGAAAAATGTGATATATTCCAGCTCCTGCTGTGCCCCCCCCCCTCAGTGTGACAGCAGGTAGGGGATCCTCTCCCCGCACCTGCTGTCACAATTCAAAAACAGTGCAGACATGCGGGGCTCCGCCCACACACCCGAGTCATTCATTTGTGGTTTCCTGTGAACAAATGAACTACCTACAGAAGTACCATCAACCACTGCAGCAGATGGCTTGTACTTCTGAACAAACTGAGGATGCTGATGAGCGCTCTTGTA